AGGTGGTCTTCCTCTACTACGTTTGTCTACTCTTGGCTTCCAGTGTGTAATTTTGCTCGCTTGTAAAAAAAATTACACACGAGCAAAATTAAAGTGCTTTAACTATTCGTAAAATAGCTCGTTATTTATCCAGCCATAGTCAAAGCAGTGATATACTGCACCTATCGGGCCATTATTTTCAACTTGAGGATTGATCCTTTTTCTGGGAAGATGTACATCGGTGGAATGTATCCCAGACGCACTCATCCCACAAACTATTGTAACGCTCTTTTCTTTTTCAGACGAGATTGCAGAACCTACTTGTTTCTGTCCCTTTGGCCCCAAAATTCTCGAAGGGATCTGTACCGTCGTTTTGCCAGTCTCGTCAACATTATATAGTCGATCTGCAGGAAATTCAAATTTACCTGATATTGAAGCAATATTGGAATAAAACTTTTGACCTCGATTTTATTAAAAGTGATTATTCTAATAATACTTGTCCCTTCTGATTTTTGTAGACTTACTTCTTGGTTTCTCTTTAGGAACAAAGTTACCCAGTCTTTTCCAGAAATTTCAGTCTCAGAAAGTTCAGAGGTGTTGAAACTTCTCTAATTTTTCTGCCTGAGCTAAAAGCAACTGGAGCTGTTTGAAGAACCTTATTTGCAATATTGTTGTATAGAAGCCGGAGACAGAATGGGGCCCATTCTGTCTCCGGCTTCTATACAACATGTAGCTTCTCCTTAAAAATTTTTAAAGTGTTTGTTTGTCTTTGTGTATTGGATTTTGTATTGTTATGTCCAAATTTTACATTTATGACATTCTACTATGTCGGATAGGCCACAACTGACGAAGTAAGTCTATAAACGTTTATCACATATAAAATTTTTTCAACCATAAACTTGGAGTTTTTTATCCAAGTAAATTAATTTTCCTTTTTTATAAAAAACGTTTCTTTGCTTATTTCAGATGCCCCTGAAGATGATCTATTGATCGAAAGTACTTGGGCAAGATTAAATTAATCACCGTGTTCGATAGTTGCCTTGTATACCCTCAAAGTTTAATTATTGATAGCACAGGCTCATTTGCATTTTGTTGGATTGTATTCGTAATTTCTCGTGGTAGTCATACTATTTTAATAAATTCCTATACAAAACTGAGAAAATGAAACTGGATATTTTAAATTTTCTTTTTTTAACCTTCCTGTATAAGGACCGTTGTAATCTTCTGCGCTACCATGCATTTCCAAATCAAGTATAGCAATTATTTCCAACATATATCAACCTTTACCTTATAACTACAGAGTCACTATTACCGCAAAGGGGTGTGCTGTACATACTCTATAATTAAAACCGTAAATCATCGAACGAAACTTGTACATTTTGTAGTAATAGTTTGACGTACTTAACTATTGACGGTTATTTTTATATTGCATTGTGGATATTATACGTAAAGAACCTATTATTCTATTATAGTGACATTCCGTGTTCTATTCAATGCTACGACCAAGTACTTCATTGTATATGCTCGCCATTAACATACATAAAAATAAGTTGGTGAACTATAATACAGAGTGCTCCAATTAACAGCATCAATAAAATAATATTGAGCTTTTTACTATCTACATATTTTACATGTACAAATTGATAGAAAGTCTGTGGCACTTGGTGACCATGTGGTTGAACTATCTGAACAAATCAACATTATTACAAAAGCTATTAGTGATTGCTTTCCAAAGGAAACTTTCCAGTATGTTGAATATATTGTAGGCATTTTTTAATTTTATATTTACGCTATTTCTTAATACGCTATCCTCAGAAGGAGGACGATATAGAATGATCTTCATTTTAAACATTCTAATTTTAAACTAGATAGATGTAAATATTTTCTAGATGTATCTATTGAATAAACAATTATCAGAGACGATCAGTTTGAATTCAGAGCAGGCATGTAAACGAGAGAAACCCTGTTAAGTTAACTAGTTGTGGACCAAAAATGCTAGGACTAAAAGAAAAATATATTCATAGTCTTCAAAAAAAGCATTTGATAGAGTGACACACGACCTACTATTATAACGTTGAACGTCAGTTTAGATGAGGATATCAATCTATTTAAAAACTTTTACTGGAACCAAACCAGAATTAGCATCGTTCCACGAACGATTAGGAACATTCCACGTCCACAGAAGTGGAAAGTAGAAGAGGAATGAGGCAAGGATGTGTTTTGTCACCTTTGCTATTTAATCTTTATTCCGAGTTTCAACATATCAACAGCATCAGATACACCGATGATACGGTGTTTCTTGTGGTTCGGCGATTCCGACTTGGGTCTACCATGATCTACCATACATACTATGACCAACTCGATGTGCTGGCAATTTTTTATCGGAGGTTTTTAACTGAAACTCTAGCAAACCTCCGTCATGAAACCCTTTATCGCATGCCATAATATGTGTTATTAGACTCATTAATTACTGTCATATTGACACATGCTGATACAATATTTTGAACAGCATGCACATTTACCTCTATGTAATCGTTGTGAGAGAGTTATAAATTTCATATAACAATAAGATTGCATCACTAGTCGGTGCTTAGTCCTTATTTTTTCTCAGAAAACAGAGTAACATTCTCCTGGTGCTTAATGTATGCTGATTATGTAGTGGTAGTAGTAAATACTGAAAGGGATTTAACACAAAAACTGGAACAGTGGAGGCAAGATTTTTCTTAAGAAAACTCTGAGGTTTTTGGAATCGCTTAACATGATTATCATCGGCAATGATCTCAAAGACACCTGGTGTGAAGGAGGAGCCTAGTCTTCGGGGGTTTTGTGAAAAGTCGATACCAAATCAGTGCAAAGTCGTTACTCGGGGAGTTTTGGGATTGCTAAACACAAATATTATCAGCGATGGTCTCAAAGGCTGCCAAGGACGAGCCTTATCTTTAGGGGTTTTATGAAAATTTAATACAAACTCAGTTTAAAGTCATTACTCGGGTGGTTTTTTGGGGTTGTTGAACACGAATATCATGACGGCGATGGTCTTCGATTCACCTGGATCCCAGGACGAAGTAATTTTGTATCGAATTTCCACAAAACTCCAGAAGACGAGTCCTCTCCTGGGAACCAGGTGCATGTCAGACCACTCAATTTTGTATCGAATTTTTATAAAACTCCAGACGATGTCCATACTGATTAATCCACTAGGTGCCTCGGAGACTATAGCCGTTACGATAATTCTCATTCAGCGACCCCAAAAACCCCCGAGTAGAAATATTGAACGAATTCTCAATTATTTCCGAATTAATTTCCATTTCATTTTCATTTCGACATCATCACTTAAGTTCACAAAATTTCCTGACGCTCTAAAAAATTGGTTGGTTTATTGCTTCTTTGCTTTCATTGCCTAAATCTATATTAGGGAAATATTCAGTCAGTATAATTGCCAAAATAATTGATGTTTAACCTGGTCGATACTTAAGTATTATAGTAAATAAAACTCTTAAGTAAACTGCACATTTATGATTTACTACCTGATTATTTTGACTTTTTACTCAACCAAATGTAAAGAAATACGTGATAATTATTTAGCTTGAATAATTTATCCTCCATTTTAGTAAACTTCAAGTTTTTCTTGTTTATAGTATTTTTTGTACATCAGATCAGCGGAAGAAATGAAAATGGCAATTTGTCTTCTTGAGAAATCAATACAAAATATGTTTTTATCGCAAATTGCCGATTTAATATACTTATGTAAAATCTATAAAAATATTGCTTTTGTTTTGCAAATGTGTATATGACACGCTGGCGTTCAGACTCTATATTCAAGGTCTTGGATTCCCTGCAGCATAAAATAAACAACTAAAGTATGGGTTGAACAAGAATAACTGTACTACATAATTTATTTATCGATGCTGAAGAATGGAAACCTCATGTAAATTTTTACTGCAATTCTGTTGTTGCGTTATAGTCAGTTAGCCATTCTAATGCTTCAATAATTTAATCAACCAAAACTGTATTGCCTTTTAAAAGTAGTTTGTGAATCATGTAGAATGACCGACTGATTATAACGCAATAAAAAACATAATTCGAGAAAAATTTGGTATGGGTTTCCATTCTTTACCAACGTTACAATGTTCAAGGAAAGGACTGCTGCAGCTTGATGTTGTTGCTGGGTGATCTCCGTCGCTTGATGTCTGTTTCTTGAGAAGGGGGTAATCACCTCGCTCGAAGGCTCCTTCGGCCTATTCTAGATGTCCGTGATTGCTTAAATGAAAAAGAGCCCTCGTGTATAGTTGAGGTATTAGACTTCCACTAATGTCATCAGTAAATTCGGAGTTAAAAGCTCGATATTAACGTTGATCCGACTTTGAAAAGAATCTGTTCCTGAAGTGGAGAATAAATTGAAAAAAAAAACTACAAGAAATATTGTTAAAATGTTAAAAAAAATGTACTGGTGTAACATTGTTGATTTTGTGGTATTAGAGGTGAAATAGGCCAATCAATTCCGGAATTAGATTAGAAAAATATTTAGAAATGGGAACAAATGGTAGAAGAAGAATTGGAAAAGAGGAATAAAACTGATAAGATAAATAATAATTTAAAATGAAAATATAAATGTAACGTTTGTAACAACATTTTTCATACCCTCAAAGTTTTTCGCGCTTGTACAACAAGCAATTGATTTCGTACGCGTAACGGACATTTAAAATGGCCGGGGGCTTCAAGCGTTGTTTCTTAGAAAACGATTAATTCTACACAAAAAATGCTAAATCACATTTTGCTTAAAATTATTTCAGCTACATTTCTTGTTTGAAACATTTTTTTCTACGACTTACAGATTCTTGGTAAATCGATGTCCCCCCCCTCCCTCACGAGTGTGGGTTTCTGGGGAAAGACTGGGGGTAGGAGTGACGAACGTTTTTGACTGTTTTTAATGTTTAAAAAAGTGTAATTTATTAAAAATATGGAAAAAATTTGTTATATTTTAATAAATTCATAAAATACATGTTTTCTTTTTTTTTCAGTTTTAAAAAATGTCGGCAAAAGCTATACGAGAGGCGACGGGGAAACACCTGATTAACAAATACCTCGGCGGTAACACAGCGGCTGTACAATGCAGATTTGCTTCAGTCGAGGCGGACACTAAATTCTCTGAATTAGTAAGCAACAACCCATGGTTGAAAACTGAAAAACTAGTCGTTAAACCTGATCAACTAATCAAAAGGAGAGGAAAATTAGGTAAGTCATATAATGATCATCAAATTTTGTCTTTTCCTTTTTATCGGATGCTCCGAGAAAGCGGATTTATGAAAAACGAAAGTGAAAGTTTGATGACAATTGATTAGCATTTCAATTCTCAAACATAAAGGGTGTTTTTTAGAGGCACAGATCTTTGAAATGGAATAAAACAAAAACAATTTTCTTAAATTGACATGAAACCAATTGCCTTTATTCGAAACATAATCTTTGGCGTTATGATTTCTGACATATGACTGCAACTTCTGGATCTGAAGTAGTCTAATCTGGAAGTTTCAATTTTCGATGACTTTTTCCAACATTAATGGTCATATATCGACAATAATGCGGCGAATGTTGTCCTGCAAGTAGTCAATCGTTTCAGGCTTATCGGCGTCGACTAGCGACTTCACGTATCCCCACAGAAAATAGTCTAGACGTGTTAAATCGCACGGAGGCCACCTCACGGGTCCGAAACGTGAAAGTATGCGATTATCAAACGTTTCCTGTATTAAATCAATTGTGACACGAGATGTGTGAAATGTTGCGTCGTCTTGTTGAAACCACAGCTCCTGAACATTCAGGAATGAAAAAGTAAGTAATCATGGCTATATAGCGGTCATCATTGACTGTAACGTTTTGACCAGCATCATTTTTGAAGAAGTACAGACCAATGATTCTACCAGCCGTAAAGTACACCAAACAGTCAGTTTTTCTAGATGTAATGGTTTCTCAACATGCGCTTGAAGATTTTTGTCACTCCAAATACGGCCGTTTTGTTTGCTGACTAGCTATTGAACCAATAGTGAGCTTCCTCGCCAAACAAAATTTGCTTATGAAAGTCGGGATCAACGGCAATCTTGTTTTGGCTCCATTCACTGCATCTATGCATCACTAGAAGGCCGTCTAGATTCAATTCCTGCAAACGTTTTATAGGCAAACAATCTTTTTTCGCTTTTTAACATTAAAAAAAGCAAAATCAGCTGTACATCTTTACGGATTTTTCATCAGCTACCCCTCATATATCTCTTAGAACCTTCAAAAATCTGTATTAGATTTTTTCATTTTTTTTTTCATTCTTGACTGGGGTATTATTAGATAAGTATCACTGTCCAACAAACAATCACTCTATGTGTCTCCTGATCTTATCGCCACATGTGTGAGACCTATTCTACAATTTCCAGTTCTTAAGAGGATGACACTACATTTAAAAATATAGGAAATAGCAACTCCCTAAAAACAGGACAATCATAAATAATCTTTTTAAATTGTGTATAATTATAAATATAATTTTGTTATTAATTTTTATTATAAATATGGAATAATTTTAAATTGTAAATAAATCCTCACCAATTATAAAACTAACAAATGCAGATTAGAGTTTTTTATAGCAGTGTCATTATATCATTATTAATATTTTAATTAAGCGTAATACAATTGTTTATGCAGAACAGTTGACCACACATTGATTTAAAAATATGAATGAAACTTTTTTAATGATCGTGTAAACTTAAGAAATGCAAAAAAATTTCGCTATATTTGCTAGATATTCTACTTAATTTGTATATTGCTTTAAAATTAGGCATAAATCAAGGGGATGTGGAGGATGTGAAAATCGGTTTATTCAAACAAAGATTTCAATTCCTTATTACCATTTCTTCCTCTTCTGTATTCTTCTTAATAGGCAATCTAAACAGTCACACCGTTTTTTTAGATGGTCCTATTGGCGATTTGTCTCGAGATTTTCTTCAGCAATATCAAAATTATCCGACGTTTGCGATCACTATTGCAAAGGCTTCTCGATCTTCTGCCAAATGGAATAATTGTCCTGCATTTGATATCTGAGTCACAGTATATTTCTCAAGTTTTTAACCAAGAAACCTTTCTTCTGTTAGAAGTTGTTGACCCCAGTTATGGTAATTTCCCACTCCGGTCAGTAGTGCTTCTGGTTCGACAACCGGAATCACTACTGACATTGTGAACCAGTGTTGCCAAGTACAAAATTCCATTATATATATATATATATATATATATATATATATATATATATATATATATATATATATGATAGGCTACTTTATCTATTTTGAAGACGTTTCGCTTTCGAGTTTTGAAAGCATCATCAGTTCATCTAAAAAGTACAATATGAGAACCACACAATCATGGAAACGATGTTAATTGTTACCTTAAAAAGACATGTAGCAGTCAAATAACTTTGACTGCTACGTATATATATATATATATATATATATATATATATATAACCATTACAACTTCTTTCTTAAAAATTAAGTCTTTTAAAAAATGATTTTTTAGATCTATGTTTTGCTCTTGTGGAATTTTCATTACTGTTCATTCAAATCATACTTTTATTATTGTTTGAGTCTAAAATTGTTTTGAATTGTTTTACGTGAAAATTCTCCAGTATTCACATTGAATTCTTCACATTGATTAAGTCTTCAACTGTTTGTGCTGCTGCAATGTACTCAGCTTCTGCTGTTGATAATGCCACACAGTTCTGCTGCTTTGAAAACAGTGATATTGGGCTATTATCATATAATAATATACATCCACTCACACTTTTCCTATCTTTCTGATCTGTTGCCAATTCGGTATCTGAAAATCCATCGAGTGTTATCTGATAATATGTATTGTTATAATAAGTTAATCTCAGTTTCTTACTGCCTTTTAGATATCTTTAAATTATTTTTCCGGCATTCCATATCTCTGTAGTAGGGCAATCTAAAAATCTACGTAGTGTGATACTGCATAACTAATGTCTGGTCCACTTGTTACATCAGTCCTCCAATTAATAGACTGTCTGGAATATTAGTTAGAATTTGACTGTCCTCAATGATTGAAATCCCTTTTCCATTGGAATCATCTTTGGTTTATCATTCCTTCATATTAAAATGATCTAAAAGTTTTTCTGTAAATCTTTCTTGATCAATTTTAATAAGTGTCTTCTGATCTAGTAATATTCTTACATAAATCAAATTTAAACTTCCTTTAAATCTTTTACCTGAAAATTATCTTGTAAAAATTTTTATAATACGCACGAGATAATTATCTTCACCCATTATTTATGTCATCTACATATAATCATCTACATATATTAATATCCAAACCTTTTTATTATTATTTAAACAATAATCATACTTAGATCTTTCAAAAATATTTTGAGTAACAAATTCGTTGAATATATCATTCCACGCCTTTGACGATTCTTTTAAGCCATATAAAGCTCTATTCAGTTTTAATAGTCTTGACTTTTTTATGGTAAATCCTTTTCGTGCATAAATATAGACATCATTCTCAAGTACCTAATCCGTTTAAAAATGCAGTTGGAATATCCATTTGTCTGCTTTTCCAATCATTTGTAATTATATTGATAAAAATAGCTTAATTGTTGATGTTCTTGCTACTGGTGAGTAATTTGGTTCAAATTCATTCTCCTCCTTAATTGGAAAACCTTTGGTTACTATTCTGAATTTCTTAGGTCATCCTTTGTTCTAAAAACCCATTTTGTTTGAATAGCTTTTTTATGTTTAGGTAATACTACTTCTATCCATGTATTTAATTTTGCATGTTTCATGTGTAGCTCCTTATAGATTCTACCTATTCTGGATCTTTTATGGGATCTTCATAGCATAATGGATCATTTTCTTTTGTTAATATTAAACTATAGGCAGTATAAGTCTCATATTCGCTTAAATATTTGGTTGCTTTTATTTGTCTTTCTTTTTTGTTGTTTCTATCTTAGGCATGCATTCTTCATCATTTTCTGAACTTACCTATATTCTCTGTTTTATCTATATTAACTTCATTTAAAGCATCATTTTATCTTTTTATTTCCTTTCTATTTATTCCTCCTTTCAATTCATTTTCATATTGTATTTCCACGCATATTTTCTCCCTACACCTCTACGGTCTTACATTTTGCCTGTGTCTCGAGATATTCTTACATTTTGTTTTACGTCATTTTATTTTTCTTTTTAGTACACATGTGTTAATCGGATATATTTGGCATTATCTTCTAATTAAGCTTTGCTGTTTTACCCACATAAAATAATATTTAGCTTAAAACCTGACCCAAAAGAAGTTTCAGAACTTCTTTTCTCGTTAATTTTATAAAAAATCAATTACGGAGATACTTATAATAATCATTTGTTTTATTCTGCAGGACTGATAGCCGTAAATAAAGATTTAAACACTGTCGTGGATTGGGTAAATGAACGCATGAACCAAAATCAAAAAGTCGGCAATGCCACAGGAAAACTACGGAACTTCATTATCGAACCTTTCGTTCCACACAAGCAAGAAGAAGAGGCCTATGTTTGCATATACTCGCATCGTCACGCAGACACTATCCTTTTTTACCACGAAGGGGGTGTCGATATCGGTGATGTCGACAGCAAAGCTGTTAAATTAGATATTCCTGTGGGGGAGACTGTGGACGCAGGAACTATTTCTAAGGTAAAATATTATTTTAAATTCAAATTAAAGTAGTTACAGCAAAAAGGTTAGAGTATAAGCATATAGGTAGTACCCTCTCAGCGCTTTTCAGAAATTTGCTTTCAAAATTTGTTGCTTTTTGTTGTTTTAAAATTCAGTTAATATAATCACATTACGAAATTGTGTCTAAGCTTTCTATTTACTAAACATTTTTATGGCCAGAAACGGATAGTTTATGCTCACAAGCGTTTGACACATGAATACCAATCAATCAGACCTGACTTAAATTCAAATGAGAATGATTTAAAATCTTTTGAAGACTACAATTATGCAATATATTGGAATTTTACGATTATCTTTCCTCTATTTACTAGTGTTTAACTGTAATTGATTGATGTTCTCAAAGAGGAAAAGATCTGTTTAATGATATTGTGAACTATGAGTTTTTTTAAGCAATTTTAACTATGTTTGTCCCATTTCCAGGTATAAAACTTTGGGGATTCTTCCTTTCTACTTTTTCGGCTTAAAAACTCCATCGCGTAAAATGGTTGGTAAATCTCCATTGGTTACGTAAAATGTCCTTCCTGTGTTTTCCTGTATATAATCTCCACATTGCTCACTCCACACCTGTTGGTGTGTCTGGAAGCCGTAATTGTTCCTTCCGGATTGCTTTTGCGTTTTAGCATCAATCTTAATAGTTCATATTTTTTACCTATCAGAATTTCGCTGAGGTATGAGACTTAGCATTGTTTCATCGGGTTTTATTAGTAGGGTTGTGACGTGATATGGCCATTGACATTGGTTTAGCTCAGTAAGTTATTATATGTCATATGTACTAAAGTGACCAAGCTAAATGGAAATCATATTTGCAATTAAACTATTAAACTTGTTGTCAAGGAATATAGTTCTTTTTTTCTTAACTAGATGGCTTTGATAAAAACCATTTAGCTTCTGGCTAATGATATTCGTTGTATTTTTTCGTTGCAGTTCTATTTTTATTCAGTATACAACGTATATATTTTTTAACTCTTATTGTTTCTCTTTTATTCTGTTAAAATTAAAAATAAAAATGAAATGAAAATGAAATAACAATACAGGAAGTCGAGTAAAAACTGTAAAAGTCGAAAACATGTGGACCACAAGGTATACCAAACGAATTACTAAAACAACACACCATCATCATAGTCATTAACATCTTGACATGTGTCTCGTAGTTCATCATTGAGCTTTAGCAGCTCCACAGTTTAATTAATCATATTTCTCCATTGTTCTCGGTCAACTGTTATATGGTCGCCTCAGTACACTAATTGTGGAGAAGCTTTTTTGTCTGGCCATCTATGTGAATATACCGCATTGGCGCGGACTCTGAGGCCTCCCTTAGACCAACAACCGCTTCATTTTGTGATTAAGTCGATGAATCATATCAAAGAACTTTAAAATTCGAGCGTAAACTGTCCTAGAAAGACGTCGATTGGGTTTCATTTCATCTAGAACCTAGACATTCATGCGGCGATTTTGGTTTTGTTGTAGTTAACCATTTGTCCAAACTCAGCACTTTCGACCTCGAATTTTTTAATAAGTTCTGGAGACGAGGCTAGAAGTGTAGTGTCGTCTTTAAAACGCAAGTTAGATATCTTGACACTGCCTAGATTTATTCCTCCCTCCCAACCATCCAAAACCTTGCGCATTATGAATTATGTATAGATGGTAAATAATAAAGGAGATCAAATGCATCCTTAGCGTACTCCCTTGCCCAAAATTCAATTATCATCATTCGTCCATTCGAATGCATTACTCCCTTGCCCAAAATGCATTCATCATTATTTGTCCATTCGAATACATACCAGGATATCTTGATATATGACGTGATAAATATAACATAAGATGCTTTATGTTCCATTGTACTTGCATGCAATGTTTCATGAATATCGCCTCCGGACATTAATTATATATTCAGCATAAACATTAAAAAGAGTTGGAAAGAATTCCATTTTTTAGAGAATTTCTATTAATGTTTTGTGTTTATTTCGATCACAAGCTTTGTTGTTATCAACTAAGCATGTGTAGAGGTTTCTTTCCACTTCCAAATATGTTTCAGCAATTAAAGTGAGTTCCACGATTGTATCTCTTATTCCCGTACCATTTTTGAAACCATGTTGTGAGCTGCTGGATATGCATCGCATGTGTTATAAATACGATTAAAGATAATCCTCAGAAATATTGTTCTGTGGTCATTACCTTTTCTTGTCTATGCTTCTTGGAGAGTGAGTATCCATATATGTGGTTGTGAGCCAGTCTTGAGGTAGTGTCCTAATTTTATATACACGATTAAAGAAACGTGACAGATATCTGGTTTCAGCAGTACTTAAGTTTTTAAAGTGTTCAGCTACAGTTGTCTTTTCACCGGGTGCCTTCTGTGCTTTTGTTTTAGTTATTGCTAATGTTACCTCTGAGGGAAGAATGGCGAGATCGTAGTTTAGATCAACATGAGGACTTTGTTCTGGACTGTATCTCCAAGTAATTCAAAATTTGTTTTTGTTTATCAGCATCTAACTCTGTTTCATTGTTTCCATCAGTTAGTATTGACAGTTGTTTGAGTTTCCACATGCCTGAGACCTCTTTAATTTTCTTGTGTAATTATCTGTCTTTATGTTGAGGTGTTCTACTTCCTTACATTTATCCACTAACATATCTCTTCTGTTTATTTAATTCGTTGCTCTATTTGCTTGTTTAATTGCTTGTATTTACTGCTGTCTTCATTTTTGCCTATCATGCGTCTGGCCTATCGACTCTAGTATATCATGGATAATCCAGGGTTTTTTTTTGAATCTACTTTACCTATCGCGTTTTCTTCTGCTGCGGCGACGGCATTTTTAAGTATTGTTTTTAAGGGTTAAGTTAACTTAATTAATCTTTACATACGCTTACAACTATTTCAAATAAGTACAATGGCATACCAAATAACATGTGATTAGAATATTGTCAAAAATACGCACAATCTTTATTTAATATGTATTAGCCTATGTAGCATAAACAGTTTGAACTTTGTTTCGAAGGTCACAAACTATTAGAAGCCTAAAACTACGATTATAAAAACGGTCTATTCAATTTTACATAAAAACGTAAGATAAATATTTTTATGGCATATTTAACAATGTGTTTATGAAGCAATTAAATTTTCGGAACGCAAACTCCAGACTGCATAAATTCTTACATAATATTTTTTTTATATTTAATTAGTAGTTTTTGAGATACTCGTATATTACACTACGGAAAGGAGACAATATGCCTTGCATATAGAGACGAAGATGAGCCATTATTTAAAAAAACGAAATCCTCAGAAAGTAGTTAGTGTTAAAGAGACTCCGAGAATGAGAAGTTAGACGATTGTCATAAGATAAAAATAGACAAGTAATAGAACTACAGTACAATTCCAGCAAACTCGCAGAGATAATGCAGACCGAACCTCCGTGAAAATCGGATGAAATGACTTATACTACTACCCAAAAGTGTCGCTCTAGTAGTTTAGCTAGTGGAGTACTCTCGGGCACTTTTATACTCTACCTACGAATGCTCCATTGATCTTGGATCAATGAAAAAGTCCAAGAAGTCATCGACAACAACAATAAGGTATGAAAAGAACACCAAGGAGGACAAATTCAGAACTTACGGGTTAGCTTTTCATCACTTTTTCCTTTCTACTGTACACGGTGGAATACAAAATTGGCTGAAAATGAAACAATTGCAATTTTATAAGGGCAATAAATTGCAATTTTGTTGTAAAAATTGTGATTCATAAAAAACTCTCGAGCTTTGTCTTGTAAAAGTTGTAGAACCTACCCTAGCCTAATTTTTACTCTTGAAAACTTTATAGGAGAAAAATAAAACAACAATAGCTTGATATTAAAACCATTTTAACTTGCTATTCTAAAATGCCCTACCAATATGAGGACAATTTTGTAATAATAGGTTATTATTTAAAATTTATTGTCAAATAAATTTATTATTATAAAGAAAATTTACCCCACGATTAAAATTATTTTATTCACTTGTATTCACTTATTATACAAACTATTGACGAACACCTATTCTAATTCTGACCTCTTCAGATAACTGGTCATCAACTTTTATTTGGACAGTCTGGATCCAGTACAAATTGACAATTAAAGTTAAATCACGATTATCCAGGACAACATATTTAAGAGTATGCAAAGGTTTTACTTGTTTAACATGGTAGAAAGCCTTTTCATAGTTTATAAAACAAGAGTATATTAGCACTTATATATTCCTGTAACGTTAATCTATTACCGGAATACTAATTAAGGCTTCTCTTGTTCCGATACCTTCACGAAATCCAAACTGCGTGCCACCTATAAAGGACTAACATTTTTATAAATTCTACTATTAATTGCCTTAAACAATATTTTTAAAACAGGCTAATTAGGCGGTAATCCGAGCATTTCTTGACTTTAGATTTTTATATTCAATAACTTAAACAATATTTTTAAAACAGGCTAATTAGGCGGTAATCCGAGCATTTCTTGACTTTAGATTTTTATATTCAATAATGCTTGTTTTCTCAATCCATCTATATCGCAGAAGATCGAGAATCCTTCGCAATGGTGATCGCCAACGTCTGATAATTCTGATATAGCACGCGAAGAATAAGAATGCTTGTTTTTCTATCTCTAAAGATTTTCCAAGTTTTCCTTTGCTCTCCATATAGGTCTTGTTCCATGTTTTTTGTGAATTGTGTCTAATAGTTTCTTTTTATGCTTATTATTTTAGAATTGATGTTGTTTCTTATATCTTTGCATTATTGATTGGTTGCTTTGTTTTATTACTATTGTATTGTAGGTATGCTTTCCTCGACTGCTATGGTAAATTTCTGATTTTGGTGTTGAACCATGGCTTTGATATTTTTGTTGTGTGAAGGTTTTTTTCTTTGCTCATATACTTTCTTTTGTAGCATGTTTTATGATACATTTGGTTGCCTGCATCTCGTTTAAATTTTCTCCCCT